TAAGGAACAAATGCAAAGAAGCCACGCAAAACACAAGCGGGAAAACGCACAAACTCACGAACAAACAAACAAACAAACAAACAAACAACCCAACAAACAAACAAGCAATCAAGCAATCAAGCAAACACACAAACAAACCAACAAACATGCAAGCAAGCAAGCAAGCAAGCAAGCAAGCAAGCAAGCAAGCAAGCAAGCAAGCAAGCAAGCAAGCAAGCAAGCCAGCCAGCAAGCAAGCAAGCAAGCAAGCAAGCAAGCAAGCAAGCAAGCAAGCAATCAAGCATACACACATACAAACAAGCAAGCAAACAAACACACAAACAAACAAACAAGCAACCACACAAACAAACAAACAAACCACCAAACATGCCAACAAGCAAGCAAGAAGCAAGCAAGAAGCAAGCAAAGCAAAGCCAAGCAAAACAAAACAAAGCAAAGCAAAGCAAAGCAAGGAAGCAGGCAAGCAAGCACGCAAAGCAAAGCAAAGCAAAGCAAAGGCAAGCAAGCAAGGAAGCAGGCAAGCAGGCAAGCAAGCAAGCAAGCATACACACATACAAACAAGCAAGCAAGCAAGCAAGCAAACAAACAAACAAAAAACTACACAAACAAACAAACCAACACACATGCCAGCAACAAGCAAGCAAGCAAGCAAGCAAGCAAGCAAGCAAGCAAGCAAGCAAGCAAGCAAGCAAGCAAGCAAGCAAGCAAGCAAGCAAGCAAGCAAGAGGGCAAGCTAGCAACCACCCAAACAAACAAATCGTCCAAACAACCAAACGAACAAACAAAACAGCCGCGATGATCCATTGATAATTCCCATCCGCCTTCTCCTCCAGTTGCACCTCGAACCGTGCCATGGAGGACTCCAGCTCTGAGACGCTTTTGCGCTCCGCCGCGCTGTGGCGCTGGGCCTCACCGCAGGGTGGTGATCTTGAAAATGGCGGAGCGACCGCCACTGTTCTTAGGCAGTCTCTCCGCTGTGCAAAGTAAGCAAAGCCTCTTCAAGGCCACATGCCACGTTGACAGGATCGCGGATTTGCGTGTGAGAGCAACCCTGATGCAGGACGAGAGTGAGTGAAGCTGCTGACCAAGCCGGATGGCACAGTGGAGATCCCACAGCAACAATAGAAGTTACAAACATTGCGGTTGGCATCCTGCTTTTGAGGCTCGGGATCCGGGAGTGTTTCTTTTGCGGACTTCCCAGACTGCTTTTGTCGGGGAACCCTTCGCCGCTTTCTCCAAAAACGTACTCAAATATGGTGGTCTTCCGTTGATTTCCCTTTAGACAGACACACCCTTTGGGTTTTGACGGGTTCCTTTGGTTGCCGAAGGCGTGGACTCACTGGGCGCAAGTTTGGCCCATGGTCTTTCAAGGGCGTTTGTCAGATTTTGTTAAACAACCGGAATGGGGGGAGGGGGCTTTCGGGGTTCCATCTCAGTCGTCAATACACCTGGCAAAAAAACGAGTCGTCTCAACCCTGCAAGGAACCAAGGAGGCCGAAAGCCTCACCAATTGATGGCACGGGGCGCATCACCAATTAAATTGCAGCAAACTAGGTTCCACAATCAATCCTCATTGTCTCCAATTCACCTGGGCATCAGGCCAACAGGCAAACAACCAACCCTCCTTCATGGTAAACTCTTGAGTGGGCCCAATGTCATTGCAAGGAGCATTGGCCGCTGACTGATCGCAACTGGTCGGTTCCGCGCCTGGCGCAGCGTCTCCGACAGCCTCGCGTTCTCCCGCCTCAGCTGCTCGTACTCCGCCATCCGCCGCTCGGATCCGGCCTCCGTGCCTTGGCAGGAGGCGACTTGCGGGGCGGGACTGACGTCCGAAAATGATTTTGAAAATGCCTGCTCAAGGAGACCAGAAGGGGCTCAGCCACTCCGGCCTTGGAAGCACCCGTGTCCCAGAATTAAATACATAGGGCACAAATCGGCCGCTCCCAACGACAAGAATTACTTGCCCACAAACACTTGAAAACATGACCCAGAATAGGTTGCTTCGAACACCTGTCCTAGTTGCTCCTAGTTTCACGAACCAGTTTGGTTTGCGGCTTACTGCATTCCCAGGCAAATATGTTTGCAAGGTGTGTTGCAGTTCTAAGGGGGCTGCGAAGTAGCTCTGCAAGGCACTTCTTGTGAAGCCAAATCCCACTTTAGCTTTAATCAGTGGCGTGGCTCAGCAAAGTGCGAGCAACTCAACTGAATCTCCTGCATCCGAACGCAATTCGAAGGAAACCCAACGGACATACACAACTTCAACACTCCGGTTTGTGGGCAACCTGCCCTACTCACCAGCTAAAAGGGCCTTGCTTGAAGCCGCCCATGTGCATTTGTGGGAACTTTGCGCGGGGTTGCGCACACTTCCTTGCAGTTCAGTTCTAAAATGCACAAACAAATCTAAGTGGTTCAGAAAGCTTTGCTTTTCGGCGCTCGAGAAGTGCCGGTGCCCCTACATCATTCTCCAGACCGAAAAGCTTTGCCCAAAGGATCAAGAATGAGACGTGCAAAGGCCCATCGACTCAACAAGATTCGTCCCTCAGCATCCCCGTTCCCAGCGTTCAAAGGGGAACCCACTTTCTGACATGCATGATTCCGTTCCACAAAGATCGGTTAGGAAGCGATTCAGCAAACAATCAATTTGACGTTCACCATCAGGCAAATCATCAAATCGGTCAAGCAAAAGGGTGGTGATGGGTGGTCCTTATACAATTGGAGTGCGCCCACACCCCACCCCTCCCATGCATTGCTTCGGGGGTGGGGTGCCTAAAGCAAACATTCCCAAAACCATCAAGCGACATGCTCAAAACACTGTGTGTTAAAAGGGGGCCTACACCCAAAGGCAATGTCAAGAACCCGTCAAAATGCACCTTTGACAGCACCCCCTTGAAGGACTCACCTAAATATCCCCTGGTGCATGTAGAAACCCTTTGAAACAGCTGTTTTCGAATTTGGCCAACATATTGGCCATGGGTCAAAAGCCCGTACCCCCTGTGGACATCCCAATCCCACCAAAATAGACTAAAATGGGTGGTGCACCTACCCCAACTGGTACCATTGGTTTTGAACCATGGCCATATCCATTAAAGCATCCTGTTTAAGAGGCCCAGGCGCTGGTCCGCTGTGGCGATGCCACGAAGCTGCGATGGGTGGGGCTGGACACGCCCGTCTCGAGGGCAGTCCTGCGTGCAGGGCTCAGTTTCTGTCCCCTTGCCAAGGGTTGCTTGAAGGATACATCCAAAACCGTCTGCTTTACAAGGGGATACTCTAAAGCAGCTGGTACACATAAGGTTGCAACTGGCCCAAATATGTTCCTTGAAAGGGTGCTGTCTAAATAGCACCCCACCGAAAAGGTCGACTCATCTTACACTAGCCCTGAAGGCGGTGATTGGAACCACTCAAAAGAGACATGCGCAAATTAGGGTGCCGTGCTTGTCACAGAGGGGAGGCCCAGTCTCACAATTCACATCTCACTGATCAGCATGCAGTGCCTCAAAAAGCCATTTGTTTGCTGAGGGAGTAACAAACATCGAATACCTGCCCTGCCGCGCCAAGAAGTAGACAAGGGATCCCAGAATCCATATGTCATCCTCCCGCAAGCAAAATGGCACTGAATGGAACTCCATGGGCAAAATCTTGGGTCCCTGAGCCGGGCAGCTGGACAAATTGGCATGTCGGTATGCTTTCTGAGGAGACCTACCATATTGTTGGGCCCTCACGGGCACCGAATTCCCCTCGAGGAAATACGACTGCGCTGGCCACCGGTTCCTGCTGTAAACCTCCTTGCGGTCCACGTGTCGCACACAGCTCCCAGGGAACCAGCCGGTTCGCTCGTTGCCCTCCAGGTGACCACCCCACCATCCTGTCTCGTCCTTCTCCAGGACTATCACCTCAGTGGCAGGGTCCCCAAACCCATTGACGGCCGGCCTGTGACCCGAGATGAATAGACTCTTTACGTCAGACTCCCCTAATGAGACTAGGTAGCAGGGTCAACTGCGGTACTAAGGGAACCGTGAGAAGCGTCCTCCAAGCAAGTACCTTCTTATGTGTGATTATGCGAGGTCCATCACCAAGCATATTTCGCTGACGCACTCCTGCTGTTCCAACACAAAACAAAGCTCACTGAGGAGCCTTCCCTGTTCGCAGGGCCCTTGCGAAGCAACCGCCTGAACGCGGAGCAACCAAGCGACGATGTCATGGACCTTCAGCGTCAGCTGTGAGTCATCCGTTGGGTCATGCTTCTTCACCACGATGGCGCGGAGGCAATCCAAATCCAGCTCGGATATGGAGCTGTCCATGGCAGGCCCACGGTTCACGCTTAAGCAGGTCATACATGCACCTATCGATGGCTAACATCTGTGTGTGTGTGTCTGTACATGTGGTATTGATACATACTCTTAAACACCAACATGTGACACATGAACAGGTATCTTGAACAAGTTGAAAATTGATGAAGCCCTTTTAAGCACTTTGCGTGCGCATTGAGCAACCGTAAAATCCACGAAGGCACCATAACCAAACTGTTGTACTCGTAACACGTTGTTAATCATACAAACATGCTTGTACTCTGCTGAAGCCTCAGCCACAGTGCACAGAAAAGGGCGCGAGCAAGCCAAAGCAAACAAACAGGAACAAGTGTCAGGGATGCAAACATGTAGAAAGGAAAGACCAGCTTTGCTCGACGGGTGCGCCGCTCCGCAGCAAGCCCCAGTATGGAATTCAAACATGCATAAAGCAATCAAGCTGCAAAGGCTGGCACAACATGCACGCACTCAAGGGAAACAAGCAATAGCGCAGCCTTAATGGAACAAACGGCTGTGAAAAACGGAGGACTCCGCAATCCCCACGAAAAGCCACAAAGGAGACTCCTAGCGAGTCCCAATAGCCCGAGGATACATCTTAGCTCCATGTCCTAACATATTTCTGACCTGATTCACCAGCCAAACCCGCGAAACCCTGGCTCCGAACCCGCGAACCGGGGCAAAACGCGCTTGGGGCACTTGTGATCCAACTGCTGCAGGCAGTGCACGATGTGAGTCATGGCTTGGAAGTCCAGCTTGGGAACAAACCGGACCAGGTCCCGCAACAGCAGGTCGTATCTGGCGCAAATGGACGTATTGCCAGGCCAAAGGGCCCCCCGAAGGAAGACAACCGAACTAAAGGAAAGCTCTGGCTATGGATTAGGTATGCCCCAGTCAACCGGGTTGACATATTTAATATGGCAAGTCAGTTGTCCTCAGCCATCCTTCTGCCTACTCCCCCTTGACTTATCACCTCAGATTAGGAAAGATGCGTTCATGGGCATGCCTTCTTCATGCAGCCAGTCTTTCATTTGTCCCTACGGAACACTTAAAGCACCTATGGAAAGCGTGGCCCACGTGCTCAACTCGTCGCGCGAGCGCCTTGGGTCCCGCAGAAGCCGATTCAAGGCGATTGGGTCCTTGACCTCGTCCAAGGACGCCAAAACCTGCCAGAGTTGTGCGGTTGCCGCCTATTTCTGACAAAACATTCCCCAAGCCCTCTGGTTGATCATTAGCAGCACCCCAGTTTCATAAGTGACTTCAACACATACCTAGGTCTTCCAGTTGGTTACTAGTTGAGGCTCTGGGCATTTTTTGGGCTCATCAAAGACTTTGAGCGGGAAAAACATGAAATGTGCGGAAACCTTGATTTGGCATGGTTTGGCCAGTTGTGTCCCAGCAGGTGGGCGGAAATCGGCGGGACAGGAGCGGACATCTGCGAGAAATGAGCGGACCAGAACAATTTTCCAATTGAGCGTGCTTGGGTGAAATGAGCTTGCTTGTTGCTCGAAACGGAAACATGCAAAAACATGTGCACAGGGAAAACCTAGATATATATGGGGTCGTTCGGCAATCAATCAGACTCTAAAAGTTATGTGCGACAAAATGCTGGCCTGAACGACTCAGTTTCAAACTGAAGCAGTGCAGTGCGACATTGATTGATGTTTGCAGTGTTGTTTAGAACCCCCCCCCCCCACTTTGAGGGGCCCCTTTGGTCTTTCGATGTATTGCGAGGCGGGCCCGGCCCATACAATACCACCACCAAAGTCAAACATGCAACAGGGGTCATTGGATGTCCTGCTCCTAGTCAAGGGGACCCCTTAAAAATTAGTTGCAATGTCTGATGCTTTCACATTCTTTCAAACAAGCGAATGAGGAATAATTAACATGCAGACTGCTGGCCAAGGAACACTCGCAAATCAGGAAATGCCAAGCGGCGTTCGGCCAAACGAAAGCAAGCCGTGTTGGGCAGGGGCCAGCAACACAGTTGACCGCGTTTCTGGTGCAAAGCATGCACCAGTCAACGGGGGTTGTTTTGCACTTGAGGCAAAAGCACTAAGCGGTGAAGCTAGTCACTGATGCGAGTTGTATGAGCTTGAAACGTCCATGCTCTGTCCTGAATGGCGGTCACCAGGTTGTGCACGAAGAATACGCCCCGATGCGTGACGAGCAATGCCAGCACGGCTTCAGGCTGCTCGCACTTCAGAAGCATTTGGTCCATCTGCGAGCAGATGGGATTCCTGAAGACAAACGAAACTAGAGACATTACATTCCATTGCAAGCTCACAGCAAGCAAAAATAATGTTATGCCTCGTTTAAGCATCACCCGATGTCCCAAAAGGCAACTGTATGAGGACCCCTGTGCAAAGAAGCCGCCAACACCATAGAATCACATGCCACCCCCGAGAAAAGCTCTTTTGAATGTGCATAGAAGAAAATCTACGGCACTCCACGTGGTCCGGTGGAGACAAGGGGACAGCCCCAACACTTCAGTTGGCTGGTTTCAAGGGACACCACCCCCAACCTTCTTTTAGAATCCCTCAGATTTCAGTGGTCCGGGAGGGCCAAATTCCACTGCGAGCTTCACATAAAGCTCTGCGCCCGGGGTGATCCATTGCCGCAGCTGGCTTGGAAGGCGGTCTTGCTCGAAGGACTGTGCTGGAGGCTCCTGCCAAAAAAGCAGGGTTGCGCATTTTTTGGTATCACCAGGCCCTGACAAAGCTTGGCCAAACCCTACTGATACCTCGAATAGCGGGCAGGCATCCCATTCTTAGAGAAGGCCCTTCTTTGGAGGACACCACACCCAATGAATCCGAGAGGTTTGAGAAATGTGGAGTCAACATCGCTTGTTTGGCATGGTCTTGCAGTCTTCCGGTTTCATCTTATTGTTCACTCGCGCAACAACCTCACACTGTAGTCATGAAACGACCCGGCACTTTCTTCCATTTGCGACGGGACAGCAACTTGTGATTGTTGCTGTGCAACACTGCACAAGGAAGCCTGATGGTGCGCACAGAATCCTGGAATTTGCACTTTCGACCATGGGACATATCAACCGCAATGTTGTAAAGCAATCCTTTGAAAAAAAGGGCCCAACAAAAAAGCCGATGGTGTCACCAACTAACACCCCTTAAAAGAGCACAAAGCAAGCCCGGGCCCGTCCTGCGAAGCTACCTCCACGACAGCGCGACACCACGGCTTCAGGCGATGCAGCGTTCGCAGCGGGCGCAATGACATCTGATGGCAAATTACAGTGCTTTTCTGAGGGCACCCTTGTTGGGCTCGGTTTAAAGGGACACACAAGGAAAACCACAATTTTGTGCTCCCCGCAGTTTAACACATACCCCCCATATTTCGCAAACTGACAAGGGATCCAAAGTAGCTCGTTTGACCCTGTGAGCTCGCCATAAACTGCGCAAGCGCGGGGATAAAGAGGACAAAGGTGTTGCTTTCCCTATCCGAGGATTGCAGGCTTCCACACATTTAGGTTGTGTTCTTGCATATGGTCGTGCTTCGGGTGTTGCTCAGGTCTGGAAACACAAAGCATACCGCCTCTTTTGGCTTCCCCTTGGCAAAACTATGGGCCATTTCTCTCTAGTGTTTGTATTGATTCTAGCGGCACTCCTTGCAAAAAGCGCTGAACAAAATGGACTGCTAGTTGTATCATGCTTGCTCTGCAAAAAGGTATGGCTAGCCGCGTGGCATCCTTGGCAGTTTCCTTTGCACTCATTTCCCAGGAGCTTTCCTGTCCAGCCACTTCCCGCTCTCCAAAGCAAAGCTGAGCTGCGGAGCAACTGTCACACGCCCGAAGGCACGGGCCACTGGCAGCTGGGCGCCATGGTGACCCCCATGGCCAATGCAACGCCCTCACTGCTTTAACAATGTACAACCCAAAAGCGATTCCAACCAGAGATTTCGATGGACAAGCTCCCTTAAGCCGCTGAGCCACACCGAACCGCAATTCAGATATCGCAGCGCTTGCCACCCAACACCTGGCCCTCAAAGAGCGCGGCTTCTCTCTGTCCAAAACCTCCCGCTCAACAGCCTGCGTCAAACAAGGCATGATCATGCGCACTGGGTGTCTCGGGCAAAGGAGTCAGCACAGAATGAACTCAATTGATGCTTATTAAAATTGAGGACTCAAAGGGTGCCGAAAGGAAACAACCGATCTGGAGGGGCCTTCATACTATTCAGAGCTTCTCCACGCCTTGTAGGACAGCATTCTCTGCTCCGAGAGTGCGCCGAACTTCTCCTCCATCACATCGAAGCCTAGCCGACATCCGTCTGAACAAAGAATGAAAACAATGGAGCTGAGCAGAATCCAAGGAGCCACGAAACCTCATGAGCTGTGACATGCCGCTTGCTCGCTTCAGTCCAGGCCTGGGATGAGGTGATCAAGCCCCTCCGGCGCGGCGGGGATGCGCGTGCTCCAATCTGGCATGTGTTGGCTGCCAGGGAAGCAACCAACGGCTGACTGGGTACAACAGCCCGGCTTGAGCTTGTGCGGCAGTTTGAAGTCGGTTTGGAATGGTTTGGAGTCTGTGCGATCTGCCCAACACCAGTAACCACAAATCGGCTCAGTGACCCATATTGTAAAAGGTGGGCCGGTTCAGTCCAGGTTACAGGAAATTCCGAAATTCAATGGTTGCATGCCTTCAAGCTATGGAGATAGGCTGATGCCATTGCACGCCTCATTCTGATTCCGGCGGGGACAAAGTGCATTGATACGGAAATGGCTTGCCGAGCATGCGGCACATTGTGGTGCTGATGGCTAAGACACGGCGGGGCCAACGCAACATTGCAGCAAGGTGAGAATTCAAGCATAGAAGAATTTATGACACACCTATGACTCTGTAGCCCAAGCGACGCAAACAGAAATGCGTCCCCAATCTCCCCAAGGCCACGAAAACAGAAGATGTATCGTGATGATTCATGATGTATCCACCTTTCAGGCCCACAACTAGAACAGGTCCAGCCCGGAAGTCAGCCAAGAGGTCAAATTCGATTTTCTCGGGACAACCGAAGTCCCCATCTCCGAGGCAAGTGAGGCCTTCACGAAGGTTCTTCTCATCGTGAATGGGCATCTTGGCAGGGCACCCCGCCATGCGCGGGGAAAAAAGACGGGAACGCGCTTTAAAAAACAAGGCCAAGGATGGGCAACAAGTGCTGTGTCATACAAGGCCCTATCAACATCTTTGGACATGACACTGCAAGAGCATGCCAGCTGTGGGCAAAGTTTGCATTTGCAAACAGGCAAATGCCCACTTCAGCTACCAATCATTCCCCAATATGTCTTCAAGTCTCGTTGTTGCCCATGCCCCGAATTTGCATGCCAGGGTGCAAGCTCTGAACGGCGCAGCGCCTTTGGGGGCAGCTGTCAAGCAAGGAATCCGCCAACTGCGACTCGAAGCACCCGCTTCCAAGACATGCCACACACTCGCACACTTCGTATGCCCAGCGATGCCCAACGATTGAAGCTCCAAACCTTATGTGGCATTCTAAACACACAGCCTTCTTCGAACTCTGTGGAGCTGAGAGCGTTCCCAAAATTTATGATGATTTCAAATCGGGATTTGTAGTTTTGCGAAATGCGTGGGATAATCAAAGCTTGAGCCTCGTCTTGGCGTAGTCTTTCCAGTGTTTCATGAGACGGGTTCAGACCATCTTTGAGATCCTAGCATATCCTGGTCCAAGGCGCTGTTGCCGAGCTGGGTCTCGTCGCCCGCTGTGTCAGCAACACCCGCAGGGCTTCCGACACGTCGCCCGAGGCCATGGACAAGGCCATTGCGAGCAGTCTTCAGACTTGCCACTTTTGGCGCGTCTCGAGATGAGAAGGAAACAAAGTCCGTCGTGTTGACGGTGGAGAAAACCCCAAGAACTTTCGAAAGGCAAATGCCCTTTGAATCGGCAATGCCACCTGTCAGGGCAAATCGAGGAATGGGTTGGGCTGTTGCTGCGGTGGCAGGGCGTGTGATGGCTTTGCTGGCTAAGCAGAAGGCTTCTATGAGCTGCATGTGGCTGGGTGCTCGGAATGTGATAGAAAGCCACACGCCGCAGGTACTAATCTAAAGGAATTCAAATGCTCAATATTTGGTGAAACCTTCAAGTCGCATGAGCGACGCTGGAAGCCAGAGTTGCATTCGCATCAGGACTCCCGCGTCTGCAAAAACAGAGGTCAACTTGACAGCCTCGTCAACCAAATTTGAGGCAAAGTGTTGCGACCACATGCAGGATTCCAAAGCCTGACTCCCCGGTTTTTGAGGGCAAGTTCCCCTCAAAGGGGTTTCCTGATGAGGTCAAACTACATCTAGTAGGCCTCATTGGGATTAGGCAGCCCCTTGTGGTGGGCCCTTGCAACCACAGGACTGACGAGTTTATACTCAGTGGATTCCGTTTGCGCCCTGCGCATCCAGGCGTCCTATGCTTTTATCTGAGGATCGGCCTCATTCATCTTGTGGCACGGCTAGTGTCTCACATTATTTGAGGCATTTGGGACTGCGGGGGGTGGAGAAAACTGCTGGTGCTGATACAGGGTTATTACTCTCAGCGGCTTCTTCAGGATTGTTGGGCCCCCGCCAAAAAAAGAAGAAGTAAAGTCTCCTCTGACACGAGACACCTCTTCCTGTTGGTCAACCAGGGGTTTTGCAATCATCGCTTTCTATTCATTGCTTCCCCCTATTTTTAAATCCACCCTTATGTTGATAAATATGACTTTTCAGGCCAATACTGCACTTCTGACATCAATTGGTACTTTCACCACTTGTTTCAATTGTAAACTAAATTGTAAATTGTCATGCTCACTTCACCCCTTAAATGTGTGAACTGACAAACCCAAAAGGTGCTTGGAGTAATTCCATGCAAATCTTACTCGGCAGATTACGATTTTGATGGTTTTTGTTCCCGGCAAAAGGTGGACCCCAGTTGGAGAACCCCGATGGGAATTTCTGGGACCCCGTTAATAATTATGTTGTCGCCCAACACAAATACTAATAGGAGGGATCCCGGGACTGAGTAATAGGGGGAAGCGATTGTAGACATATATCATATATACATATGATAGTTACATATGTACATATACACGAAAAATATTGATACTCTATATGCAGCTATATGCTACATATGTTAATGTAGAAGTGCTGGCGCCTGTGCATCAAATGCAAGCCCCATGCAGCTCCACAGCCTGGTTGCCAGGGTGTTTGTGACCTTGGACGCGTGCAAAAACATCATTGGACGGACCTATGCATCTCCTAAGCGGAGTCCACTGCACGCGAAGTCAGGCTTAAAGCCAGCAGCCATTGCGAAGAGACACAGCTGACTGATGCCAAGAGGCAGAGGGCCATCAAAAGCCAACAGCCATGGATGGCCGTGTCATGACCTGGTGCGTGCCAGTCGCTTAAACCCATTGATATGTGTGATAAACGCTAGCAGTTGTTTGTTGGGCGTTCGGGGCCTCTACACTACTCGCACGCCTGCGCAAAAGCCTCTGCAAGCCTACGCCACTGCAAAGGTTGCCTATGCGACTACGACTCATCTTGCGGACGCCTATGCCATTGTGGGATGTTCAATTCCAGTGTGCTGCGTGAAGTACAACTTGGTATTGGCAGCTCTAGCTCAAGAATTGAACCTTTGCAGCACAAGTCACGTGAAGCGTGCTATGCCAAGCACACTTTTGCACGAAAGTCGCCCGTTCATCCCAAACCTTCGCAACGCTAGAAAAGATCCAGGTGTTGGACATGCCTTGGCCGCCAATGCGAGTTCCTAGGCGGAGACTATGCACAATTTGTAGTAGAAATAATTAAGAAAGCCAACATACTGAAATCGGTTATGCTTGGCACACACCATTAAACCATGTCAACGTGTCGTGCTAGACAGGACTATGCGAGAAGCCTGCGAGAGGCCTGAAACGGGAGCAAACGCCTACACACAGAAGTCCCGCAAAAAGTGCATGCATTTCCCTTTTGCATGAACCTGCTTATCTTAAAAGCCCGTGTTCGAAAATTATTGCAAAGCCAGATGATAGCACCACTAGCAAAGCCAATGTGGTCCTTTACCTGCCATGGTTCTCGGGCTTTCTGCTAGCGGTGTGCAGCCGGCTATGCTGGCAAGCACTCCACATAGGCTAACCCTGGAAGCAAGAACACTAGCACAGCTGGTCTTTCCACAATGTAATTATGACGTTCACTTATAGAAATTTGTGCCTGCCTGCGAGTCTGCTTATGTGCGTGTCTTCTTGTGTGCGTCTGTGTCTTGCCCCCGAGCACTCAGTAGCGAGC